TTCCGCCTGCAGAAGTGGGGGAATTGGTATTTTTCTCTTTTACTCTTGGGATGATAATCAGTTTGGAGAAGGTGAGGTGATAGTAAGTAGAAACATAAACTGGAAGGAAATGAGTTGAGCTAGCCCTCTCCCCACACTTATCCTCTGTATAAATTTCTGGCCTCCTGATTCTGCTTTTATTGGGGGGAGGAGCAGGAAAGCTACTCAGTTGTTCAGATAAACTCTAAACCAAATAATAAATGTAACTCTATTGGCAGAAATCTTGGGATCTCTCTATAAGAAAGTATTGTCAGATTATTTTTAAAAATACAACTATCTCCCTGTTATCTGCATGTTGAGAAATGCATTCATACATGGGGGAGAAAACAATTCTTTTTTATTTTCCATTTTTCTTCAAACAGACAAAATCTGTCCTTATAATAATAATGTGATTACTTAGTGAAGTAAAGCCATAAATTCAACTGTTGGCTAGACAAGAGTGGGGAGGTACAAGGCAAAGGACACAAAGAGCAGTAGTAACTCTATAGAAACTGCGAGGTATGGCTACTAGGTATACAAAAGGAAATGACAAATTGTGGATGTGGAAACAAGATAGCAGATATAAAATGTAGAACAGTGCATATAAAACAGAAAACAAACAAGAACATTTCATATGAATGTCATAAGGAAAAATGAATAAGGCTTCAACAGTAGGCCTGAAAAAGTATGTAAATTTTCAATTGGAGACTCCCCATGTCTTATTTTATGTGATTTTTACAATGCCATCACATTTTCCATTTTCAGGAACAACCTTTCTTTTTCAAACAATTTATATTTATAGCAGGATAAAAGGAAACTCACAATGCAATCTTACATATGGCTACTCATAAGTAATTATGATAAAAGACTACAGTATTACAGCCCTACAATCACAGGTATTCATCTGCAGGAGGAAAAAACATCTCCTTTGTCTTCTTACTTGTCCTCTACTATTAATCTACACAAGAGAGTATGACTATCTGAATAGCATTGTTATTCAAGCACATTTCCTTTGATGTTCCTGGAATCAGACTGGCACAAATTAGTGGCAAAATGGGAAAAAATTATTTACAATGGTGGCACAGACATGGGAAGAAAATCTCGTTTCAGAGAGACACACTAATTTAAAATTACCGGAAATGAGTCAAATCATGGGACCACTGTGTGTCAGCATTCGCTAGATGTAGCCAGTTACTAGTAAGGAATAATTAGTAATGAACAGATACAATAACTGCTTGGCACATGGTTGGGAAGATGAATTCACATACTAGTCATACTTCATGTTTGTAATGAGTAATTCTGTACCAACATAACTTTTTGTACCTATGTAAAGAGCAAAAACTGTTCATATTTTGTGTCAGTTGTGACCAGCAGCACACTTTTATAGTGTTGTTCCCCCCCCCTCCCAAGAGATAAAGAAATGACTAGCAGGAAAGGATCAGTCATGAATTTATTTTGAAGAGAAAACTCAAAATTGATGAAAATGATCTGTATTTTGTTTTAAAAATCTATCTATTCCACAAAGTCCTATACCAGCACCCAACTGCAGCACAGAGGTAGTGGCTATGTCAACAGAGTGCAAGCTCCAGCACATTCTAACAGGCTGGTAAGACTTTGCACATGGTCCAGGAAGTGGACTAAGTGCTGAGCTGGCTGTTGCAGGTAAGCATAGAATAACTAACTTGCATTGGTGGAGAGACTACTTGCATTGATTAATTAATGGATCTTCCAGATCATTCAAAGCATATACACCTCAGTAAACATTTATAGTCACACAGCTTATATACAATGCAGATCAAGGGTAGAGAACCTTTAGCTCTCTGACTATTAAGTTGAATTCTTCTCTTATCATGTCTTACCACTGCCTGTCTTTGTATAGCTGGAGCTCAACAATATCTAGAAGGCCAGGGGTTCTCCAATCTTAACATAGTAATCTACATTTGGGGAGGGGTAAACCACCCACATGAAAACTGAGAGTGTGGATTATCATCCTCCACACATCATCATCACGACAGTGTATGGGTGGTGGTGTGGGAGTTAAAAGGCAGGAAATGGGACAGTCAAGTTATTAATTACTTCTATCACTCTGTCCATAGTGATGGAGCAGGCTGTCACATGAATGCTAAGAGATGCTTTCTGGGATAGAGAGCAGTGCCTGTCTGGGGATACAAATGTGACATCAAGAACGGCAATAGAGAAACCAGCTTTGGAATACTTCAATCTCCCAGGACACTCTATTATGTATCTCCACATGATTATTGCAGAAAAGGGGAATTAACAAAGAGGCACTTGATAGGAAGACATCCAAAACTGGCTACATAAACAAGTTCCAGTGCATTTCTAAGGGCTTCCATAGAGATCAAGACTTCTTCGTGCACTATATGTATTAATAGCTCTCTGTGGTCTCTGAATTCTGACTCTCATGTGGAATGAAACAGCCACATTCTACAAAAGCTTGCATGAAAACATAGAAGTTACTCTTTAATGTGACACAAGCCTTTGCAAATATATTGACACAACACTGGTTTTGTTTTTGTTTTTTGCTTTTGCTTTGTTTTGTATTTCTGTTTTCTGTAATATCATATGGATGAATCATGAGAAGACAAGATTCACTGGAAAGGATGATAATCCTTAGAAAAGTAGAAGGCATGGGGCAGGAGGAGGAAGACCAAATAAAACATGTCTTGACTTCAGAGAAAGCCACAACCTTGAGTTTGAAAGAGTTGAGCAGGGCTGTTAAGAACAGGACTTCTTGGAGGTCACTAATTTAAAGGGTTGCTGTATATCAGAAGTGACTTGATGGTACTTAACAACAACATAAAACCATTGTCTCCCTTGACAGACTAACACAACTACTTCTTTGGGAATGTTTTTCTGCAGTATTTCAGGGGAGAACCCGTACAGTATATGGAAAAAAGAAGAGAAACGTGTACCTAGAAGAGGTGGTTGCCTAAGACTCCAGATGTTTTTGCTGTTACACTTACATCCCTTCAGATATTTGCATATGATGTCTAATCACATCTGCTGTGTTATTTTAACCATATTCTTTGTTGATTTTAATTTTGCTAATGTAGTTACTTTATTTCAGTGATTTATATGGCAAGCTCGGTTTACTTGACTTTATAATTTTATAAATAAATTCAGTTTTACATTTATTCTTTGAAGAAGTTAGTAAGCCATCTTGAGCACTATTTTTAATGGAAAGGCAGAGTATTATAACAACAACAACAATTTCAGAACTTTAATGTCTGATACTCCATGGAAATAAATGCCAGTATTAAATCTACCTGCTATGCAATCGCAGTTTCTGAGTAACAGAGAGCAAATAGATTCTGTGCTGATGATACCTCCAAAAATGTGGCATGGTATAATGGAAATCTAGGGTATTTGGGTCTCTGGGTGGCATATAACCTAAATCTAGGATATATAACGCCTAGAGACCTTTGGGTAGTGTGGGCGGCATATAAGTTAAATAAATAAATAAATAAATAAATAAATAAATAAATAAATAAATAAATAAATAAATAAATAAATAAATAAAATTCAAAATGACATGTTCCTTAGAATTTAAAACAGGAGTTCTTCCAGATGTTTGGGACTTTTCCAGAAATTCCAGCGATTATGGGAGGTGTAAAGCAAAACATGGCTAACCAAAATTCTCTACCCCTGCTTTAGGAGATGCTGATTCCATGGACACAGCTGAATCTGTCACATCCACTGCATGACTGAGACAACTGTTTGGGAATCAGACAAAATATCACACAGTATAGAAAATGTTGAAAGTGGGGTTAAATATGTATCCAAATTATTATTCTATAAAATCAGTAAATTTGAAATTTAGTCACATAGAATCTAATTGTTTATTACCCCACAGCCATTTCCACACTGTATCATATGTGGCTGATTATAAAATAACCATTAAAATTATCAGCTGACTTCTTAGTACCGTGGACCTTGCACTGAATGCTTTGCCCTTCTACTGGTTGGAACCTACTAGCTCAATAAGTACTACTAGCTCTATTATTGATAGTAACCCTTCTATTCAACAATGAAGATGCAGGAGCTTCAGCTATGATCGTTGACAGAATTAGCGTTATCTGCACAAAAAAACAAACAAACCAGGCAACAGATTTGCTAACCTCCACATTAATCCAGTGCATGTGACAGAAAGTGAGGTTCATTTTTGTGCATGTGTACACCCACGCAGAGTACAGATTTTGCACAAAACTCAAGAGCCCCGTGCTCATCGCAGTTTCCCCACATCTTCACTGAAACGCCAAGCCACTAAACGAGCAGGGTGATAACCCCCTGAAAGAAGACGACCTTACTTAGGAGGCTGCACGGATTGCAATGGGACTGTAGTAGGTGTCCCATAGTGGGTGCAGGGCAACATCCCACGTATGAATGGGCTCTTTGCGCCATTTGCCCGCTGGAGACAACATGTGGCCCTCCCTCTGCTAAAGAAAACCCTCGTTTCGTGTCTCGAGAAACCCACCCAGAAGAAGGGTTCCCATCTCTGTGCTTTTTCTTCTCCTGCTGCCATTCCGGCCACTTGAAGAGCCGTGGAGTCCGGCCACCGCTTTGTCAATACAGTAGATGCAAACGGTCAGGGAGGTGCCCGATTCCAAAGAGCAGCCCTCGACACCCAACGGGAGACTCGGATGATTGGCGAGGAGCTCAGAGCAGCCGAGCAAAAGACGGGACCTTGGGCAGGTGGCGGTTGGCGGCTGTTCGAAGGCGGTGCCCGGAGGGCGAGGTAGGGCGCGCGGTCCACGGGGGACGCCCTCCCGTCCAGCCACGCGCCTTTTCTCTCTCTTTCCCCCCCCCTTTTGCCTCCTTCATCCTCCCTCCCAAGGGAAAGGCGCTCGCACCTGCGCACCCCTCTCCGCCAGACCCCCCCCCATTCCCGGGCTCTCAACTCTTGCGCGCGCGAAGAGCTGACTTTTCTGCGCTCACCCCCACCCCCACCCCCGCTCTCTCACCTCCGCTCTCCCTCCAGGTCGACAACCAAACGAAGCAAACTGCGCCGAGGCACACAAACGTCAGTGCGCTGCCCAGCCGGAGCCTCATCGCCCAGCCACGGCGGGCGGGCGGGCCGGCAGGCGCTCCCTCCAGGCGTCGGCGCTTCGGAGCTTTGCGCCACGCGCGTCACCACCTTCTTTCTCTCTGTTTTGTTCTACTCGGTAGCGCTGGCGGGCTCTGTGAGAGGGAAACCAGCAGCCACTCCTCTCGGATCTGCAGTCGTTGGGAGTCTCTCTCTCCTGCACTCTTGGTGCCTAAGCTCAATTTTTTTACCTCACACTTCCCGTTGTTGCGCCACCGAGGTGGTTTATTACCTGAAAAGAGGCGGCTAACCCGCCTCCTCCTCCTCCTCCTCCTCCTCTGGAAGCTCGCAGGTGTGTGGGGATCAAATTCCGTCTTATCTCGGGCTCCGCAACACAGGGCGCCAAGAGTCGAAATGACTGCTTGAGGAACGGAGCGCCACCTCATCAGTACTTTTACTTTTCTCTGGCGATTTGATGGCAAAAATTACCGACCTCCCCCCCAACACACACACAACTCACCAAACGCCAAGACAGCTTCCAGTGAGAGCCATGTCGAGTGGGGGAACGAGTTCCTCAATGTATTATAGGTAAAAGCAAAACAGAAATAAAAAGTAAAAAAAAAGAAAAAAAGAAAAAAGCGTGGTGGCACCTTGAAGAGAGCCATTCCTTAATGTATAGCAACTTGCTTGCCCCGCTGCTCTTTAGAAAAGAATATTTGAACAGTCACTCCTGTGGGCAGCAATCCAGCCCGGGTGTTCCGTTTGATGGTGCAGGCGAGACTAACACGAAATGGAGCTGATGCATGGATTTGAAACGAGGAAGGAAAAAACACACACACATACTTATTCCTAGCAGTTTGGGACCCTCCTGTTCCATTCTAGAATATTAACTTCAAAGTATGCCAAGTTGTCCGGCATAAATATATAATTAAGAAACAATTCTCAAACCGGATGCCCTTCTATCAGTTGCAGTTAATTTCGCCCTGTGCATAAAAGCACATTAGTTAAATGGGTTGCAGGCCACTTCAATTGGTCTATGTAAAAACGTGCTAATCTTTTAAGATGTTATAAGGCCCTTTGTTGTTTATTCAACTTTAACAACTATTCACAATTACTAGATAGATATAAATGGAAAATTACAAGTTTTTTCTCTGTTCATTTCATATGTAAGTCTTTTAAATACATCTTCTGATACTTGAACAGACTTTTAGCATTTTAATTAGCAACTTAAAAAAGTTGAGCAAGCTCTTCTTTGTGGTGCAGGTTTACTTCTGTCATGCACAAAAATCATACAGAAACCAAATGGGAACACCTGTATGGTTGATAAATATTTGAGGATAAGTGAAGAAGCCACATTTAAAGTATGGGTTCAAATCCAACATTCATGTTGAACACCCAGTTACTGTTAAATGTACATTTGGAAGTGTTCAATATTAAGTGTCTTTGGTTTTCACAAATATCCACAAAGTTTCTAATTGTTTTAAACTTGTGAGTTCCAGCTAAAACATATGTTGTTTCAAGTTTAGCCAAAATACAACATTAATTGTACTTCTTCTTTGATGTTTTGGGTCGGTAGGCTCTTAGTGGCAAACCTCCAGGGAACACAATGAGAGCAGCCACTAAGAATGTTTGTGTGTTCTTGCACCATTCTGGCACAAGGGACCATTCTTCATATGCTATCAGACACTGTGACAGGAAGGGGAGGAAGTTGTTTCCCGTGCATTTTAGATTCAGACAAAGTTTCTTCTGTAAAATGTATTTTGCAGCAGTAGCAGTTTTCAGCTATACATAAAGATATGTAACTTGCATTAGAGTGACCTTCCTCTGTTTGGCAGTTTACAAGGACAGTTTTATTGCCACTCTTAATAGTTGTGATAAATCATAGATGATTATTATTTGTTTATGATACCCATGAGTGTACTAGAGTGTGTAATGAGTGTGTTCTTGCAGCAACATAAATTGAAAGTTTTTCCTATAGGCCTTGATGTGTAATTCCAAATAAGAAATGCATACTTAGATAATCAATTAATAATAAACTTTTCTAATAAAGTGCACAGTGTCTCTGAAATTATATCAGGGGTACATAAAAACAAGATAAAAATTAGCGAAATATAAGTATCTAAATGTCTTTTGCCACTAGTGATTAATTGTTAGGTAACATTTTTGTAGCCAAAAGATCTACTGATCTGTTAAAATCAGATTGGTCATGGACAAGAGTTGTTTCCTTTGAAAATGAAATCACTTACAGTATTCTGTTTAAATTAGTTGCCAAGATCACAAAAGGCCATGAAGCAAAAATGTGCCTTTATCCTTTCTTATACAGAAAGTATGGTCAGGATGGAGGATTGATATATAAACTGAAGTTCTCTGATTTCACTAACACCAAGGATATAGTGGTTTTGATAATTAGTAGACTTTCCTTAAACAGTATTTCTGTATACTGGTGTTAGGAAGAAGGGGAAAAATCTACAGGACAGTGTGCATATTTACCTGGAATTATCAAGCTATTATAACACAAAATCAAGCTCCCCTTACAGTAACTCTATGTTGTAAGATGCATGAAGACATGTATAGAGAAGGTGAATGAAGAGTTTCATAGTGGGAAAAAGGAAATTCAATAACTAGATCAGGCACAGAAGTCGGCACATCTAAACCCACTGAGATCAACTGAAACCAATGTGCTCAGATGTACCAACTCTGTTGTCCTGCTTGTAGGCAGGCAAAACCCTCTGGTATAATAAGAAAGCATTTAAAAGCGACTCACTCTCCTTCCAGAAAAAAGCAAATGAAATGCATAGTCATGGATACATTAAATCAAATCCAAGTTCTACTAGTCAGTAAGTCTCTACTGCACAGGCAGTTTTACTGGCAAGGTCAAAACAGTCCAGAGCCAATAAGTCAGCACAGCATAATAACAATAAAGGAGAAGAGTATAGCAAATGACAAACAGTCCAAGAACATGGTAGGATAGTTACATCAGACATACAAGAATAAGGAAATTTAGACATTGATCTCAGCAACTTGTGTGAGCCAGTTCTGAGGCTTTTATGACTGGATTGGGTGACACTCAGAACTCAGTTACAACTAGTCCTGTGTTAGATCCCCGCATTCATCTTTGAGAAGGACCCAAAGTGGCTTACAAAATTGAAATACAATATTTACAGTTGAAAACAATTAGTAGATAATGATGGATTACATAATTCAAAGACAATATTTAAAGCCGCGAACAATGAGCATAAAGAGGCATCTTACATAATTAAAAGGCAACATTAAAACTAAGAACAACAAGTATACAAATGTTTTTAAAATTCTACTCTGAGAACTGAAAAACACAAAAACAGAAAATGCAAGTAGTACTGAACATCCAATCAAAGCAGTAATGCATCTAAAAATCACACACAGGTAGCTAGTTACACAGATGCTAGTTACTAAGCAGCTAGTTACTGAGTGAAGGACTTCGTATCCCTGACTCCTAAGGAAATGTCCCTTAGAACCTGCCACTTTTTTTTTATTAGCCTTTGTCTGAGCTCATGCCTTCACTTGGTGTTATTCATGCAAACTGGTGTGTGTGTGTGTGTGTGTGTGTGTGTGTGTGTGTGTGCGTGTGTGAGCCATGTTAAGAGAGAGAGAGAGAGAGAGAGAGAATGTGCATACGCACATGCCTGTGTATACAGTTTCTTCTTCAGATTCTGGGGCCATTACATCATCAGATCTACTATCACATACAGAATAGGCTTAATTGTTGTAGTAGTAATTTTTAATATGTAAATAATGTAATTGTACAGTACAGAAGGATAATGCAAAGAATGAAGGAATAGAGTCTACAACCTGTTCTACACAGTTTTGGATCCGCCCTGAAAGGGGAGGTGCATAGCCTGAAGGTATTTCTGGATCCAGTTGTGTCATTCACAATTTTGGTGGACAAGAGTGCCTCCTAACTGCAGTGACTATTCCTTGATCAAAATGTTTATTTAAAATATTTTTTATCCCATCATTCTCCTTAAAAAGAACCCAAGGTGGCTTATAATCTGACTATAATGCTTTGATATAACATTCATATCGGACTACTGTAACATGCAGTATATTTTGGACATGTTTGTAAACATAATATGTATTTGTATACGTATATCATAATAAATATACAATCAAAAATTACAATGTAATACTGCTGAATGCTGGAAGTTTCCTTCTCAATAGTTCTTGGAAGATTTTAAAAACTATTTGAGTGTTTATTTTGGTTTCCTACAGAAGAGGCTAGTCTCTCCTGGTGACAGTTGGCAATCATGCTTTCTAGAACAGAATTAAATGATTTGCCCAGATTCTTATTCATTACAACATATTTTCATTACAACTTTAATCTTCATTTTTCTTCTGTCATTAAGCCTTTTTCCTTGTCTGTTTGTTGACCAATCCTCCTTCCTGGTGCCATGCATAAGCTAGAATTCTATTAGCATTCATGTTTCCATAACTTGATGGAGCTCTTTGCAGCTGACTAATGAGGTATCAGGGTGCATCTGCCTAACTGGATAATCAAAATGCATCCTGGCACTCTATCAGCAACACTTAACTGTTGCAAATATTCATTCATTCATTCATTCATTCATTCATTCATTCATTCATTTATACCCCGCCCCTCTAGACCATGTATGTTATTTTATCTTGTTTTATCACTCACGTAAGCCGCCCCGAGTAGACTTTGTCTAGAGGGGCGGGGGATAAATTCAATAAAAGTAAAGTACAATAAAGTTATAGTGATTAGCCTCGGCAAACCTTATGGGAACACCAAGAGGATTCTGGCCATATTTTTCTTACAGAATGCCCAGGTTTAGTCTTTGGTATTTCAGTTTTTAAAAAACTCCATAAAGTAGCAGGTTATCATTAAGATCTTTTCCTGAGCTACCAAAGTCATCACAACCAGTAGCCAGTGCTTGGTTAAATGGACAAATAGTCAGAAATGATGTAAGCCACCACCTCTGCTAAAAAGGAATCTTGCTTTCCAAAACAGGCAATATAAGGGTGGAACCACCTCCTATTCTAGAGGCTGAGTTGAAAATTCCAACTACACGGTACCAGGGGTGAGGCATTCAAACATACATATACCTAAACTGGTTGAAGCCAGGAGCTCACCTTAAGAAACATGCTTAGCAGACCTCTGGCACGACAATTTTGTAACAATTATTTATAGTTTTTCTGCATTACCCATAAGATATTGGTATATGTCTAAGGAAGTGAATTTATTAATAAAAGCTCACACTAAATGTTTGATTTTTAGTGGTTTAAATAAAGGTATCTCCTCTCCTACAAACTGGTTGAAGCCAGGAGCTCACCTTAAGAAACATGCTTAGCAGACCTCTGGCACGACAATTTTGTAACAATTATTTATAGTTTTTCTGCATTACCCATAAGATATTGGTATATGTCTAAGGAAGTGAATTTATTAATAAAAGCTCACACTAAATGTTTGATTTTTAGTGGTTTAAGTAAAGGTATCTCCTCTCCTACGTTTGCATTGTG